TCGTGGCCAACACGCATCTCAGATGCATGCTGGTGGCTCTGGTGAAATTTGACCTTCCGAGGAAATTTCCCACTTTTTACACCTATTTTACGCTGTTGGCAGTTGGGTGTGGAAGAAATGCGATGTGTGAATAAAAAGGCAATCCACACATTCTTTTCACTTGCATTTCACACATTGAACAAGCTTGTGACAACCGGTCTGCAGAGCGGGTCTGCGCAGAACTATGTTCACAATCGCATCGGCTCCGATTCACAAGCATGGGCTGGGTCGCCTTCCGCAGCTCGTATTTGGCCCACTTCTTCCGCTTCAACACGAGCCTGGCCAAGCTCGCCAACGCCTTGCGAGATCTTTATGCCTCGGACGTCGCCTCGTGGCAATGGTTTGCAGTCACCGGCAGTCAGGTCCCACTCGGTCTTCTTATCGGCATCTTCTGCCCTGCACACCTGGGGACGATCCTACTTGCTGTCTTTGTGACCCCGATGGGGCTCGCGCTCGCAGGCGCACTCGGCGTACCGGCGCAGTACGATGCGCTTTTGAGTTCTCTCCTGGCTGCGTACATTGCAACCCACATACGCAGTGGGCTCTACCTCTTGTTTTACTTTGTGTACGCACGTATCATATCGAGTTTCATGCCCTCGTCTTGGTCGACGACGCGCCAGGACGCGACTGCACTCGTGTGTGGCGCCGGCCTTGTGTCGATGACGGCCTTTCTCCACGAGTCTATCTTTTTGTACCTGCAAGAGTCGGCGTCGGCGCTCATCGGGGCCGGTCTCATCCTAGCGAGCATCGCTGCTTGCTTCGAGCCCAAGCTAGTGCGGGCTTTCATCGTTGTCGCGGGTGCCGGACCGCTCGTGCGTCAGTTCCGCGACTTTGCCGCGCAATCCGTCGACACACTGCACCACTAGACGTCGTACAGGTATATCTAGTTACAAGATTTGCATCGTTTTGGTATAAGGCATTGCACGCTTCGAGCACATTCTTCTTCTTTCCTCCTGGATCGACAAGTAGTGGACGTGATAAAGTGCACGTTTGTTGAAACTCCCAAGCTCCTTAAGAAAGTTTGAGATGTCCCTCTTGGTGCTGACGGCGCAGTACGAGACCAAAGACGCCACAACCAATAGCTTGTGCGAGAGGTGTTGGCACGAGGCCGACGCAGCCATAGTGCACACTCGTCATGGCTAGCCACGCGGCAATTACCGACGGCGCCACCATCTCGAGGAGTTGCGGCGCGCCGATCGCATATTGAAGACCCGCAAACGCCAGCGATTTGACCAAGGTGGCCGCGATCTTGACGAGCGCCGACCACTCTGGTACGAAATAGAACGTCGTCATCATGTCCGAGTGCAGCAGGAGACCGTAGTAGCAAACGCGGGGATGCTCCGCCAAGAACGCGCCAAGAAGCGGCGCTAAGAGCACTTCGTACTGCGCTGGCATCCCAAACGCGTGGGCAAACGAGAGACAGAGCAGTGTAGATGGAAAGGCGAGCATGTAGTGAAAGAGGCGCGGCCGGTAGACGCCGACAAGAATGGCGACGAGCAGCAGCAACGCGCCCGTCCCGTAGCACGTCACGGCGTCGTCGGGCGAGGCGACGTTCGGAAGATACCCATGGAGCGCGTTGAGGTTCGCGAGGTAGAACCGCGCGTGCTCGACCCACGCGGCGTCAAAGGCTGCCCAGTTGTCCATGCTGTCCTTGCCAATTTGAAAATGTCGATGTTGCACTTTTTCACACGACGTGTTTTTTGCGTGGGATTGGTGAACGAAGCTTACAACCCTGTCTGTTTATGCGTTTTTTGTATGGACGAGATTTCACACCTACTTTGCACTTGCGTTTCACACATGATTTGATGAACCAATCAGAATCGAGACAGCTTACAACCGATCGGCAGTGGGGTCTGGAGCTGCGATAGTCAAAAGCTCAAATCGTATCGACACCACAAGACATGATGGACTGGGTCGCCTTTCGCAGTAGCTGGGTCGCTCACTTCAACGACCACGCCAACAAGCCCCCGCTCATCGACGCCATCAACGACCTTGACGCCCCGTGGCTGCGCCATACTGTCTGCAGCAATCTGGCGCTCTTTGGCCTCTTCCTCGGTGTTTACCGGCCTCGCCACCTCGAGAAGATCGTTGTCGCGTGGGTTGTGAGCGCGATGGGGCTGGCGCTCGCCGATACGCTGGGCGTCCCGGCGGACTTTCGGGTGCCACTCACTCAGTTGCTGGCCGCAACTGTCGCGCTCCACGCCCGCTTTGGCTATTTTATCGTCTTTTGGCTTCAGAACGCCTCGGTCATGCTCCACTTCTTGCCATCGTCGATGTCGTCGCCGCACCGGGACGCTGCCGCTCTCCTCTACGGTGCTGGCTTTGTCTTCTATGGAAGAAACAGTGTGGGTGCCGGACTAAAGGCGATGGAACGATACGCGCCGGCGCTGGTCGCCGTTGGTCTCATCCTGTTGAGCGTCCTCGCGTACGTTGGACCTCTCTCGAAACCTGTGCTGTTGGCGGTTGTGTGCAGTATCGCTGTCCCGCTGCTCGTGCGTCCGTACCAAGACGATCGCGCCCAACGTGCGAAGAAGCACGACTAGCAAGATGATAAAAGTTGGGATGACAACAACGAATGTACTAAACGACTAGAGTTTCCACGAAAAACAGTATTTGTGTCACCTTGTGTCGCCGTGTGGCGGCCAGAAAGCCGGCCGGTTGACGTACCTTCACCGTTCGGTAGCGACTGTACGGAGCGCAACACTGAATCGACGTTGGCGCTGGAATGTGATTATTGCAGGGTTGTGAAAAACATGAATACCCACAACCCAATCAACCACATAGACAACTCAGGAGCGTGTCTTTCCCACGTATGTGTATTCAACAACGTTTGCCGTGTGAAAGCCTGGCCATACAAATGTGTCTATATCCAGCACATTTTACACGTGCGTTTTACACGACATGCGGTGCCACACGTGGTGGACTGCCAATCGACATTCTATTTCGCACTTCATATTTTCTTATTTCTTAGTTGAATCGATTCAACGATGGACTATATCCATGTTCGCAGCGCGTTTGCCGCTCGCTACGACGACTACACCAACAAGACACGGACGCACTCGTCGACGGGCACTCGTCGACGCCTTGGTCGATCTCTGCGCGTCGGACACGTCGTACTACAGCTCCGCAATGTGCGCCAGCCTCGTTCTTGTCGGTCTCGGTATCGGATTCTACCGACCCTCAATCGGCAGGACCTGTGTCGCTTTTCCGGTGAGTGCGATGGGGCTCGCGCTCGCCCATTCGCTGGGCCTGCCAACACGGTACGAAGTGCCATTTGGCCTCGCGCTCGCCGCCTTGGTGGCGTCGCACGTCCGCTATGGCATCATTGTGCTGTACTGGACGATGTTCTCGTCTGCGGCGCTCTGCGTAGTCACGTCGTCTTGGCCCGCCGTTGCTTTGCCGCCAACTCTGCTCCTCGACGGTATTGCTCTCGTGGTCGGTGCCGGCGTGACTGTCTGGAGCGAGGTCCATCTCGACCGAAATGACAAGCGCATCGATAACGCTGTGGCCATCCCTCTCGCGACTGCTCTCATCGTGATGAGCCTTGACGCGTGCGTCGGGCTCTTCTCGTGGGCGGTTCAGTGCATCGCTGGCTTTTGCTTGGGCGCGGTGTTTCTCTCGCATATGCTGCTGGAGTGGGAAGATCGCAAGCGTCACGCAACGACGGCATGCAGCAGTACGGCGCAGGTCTCGACCAAGGCGGACCAGACAAATGAGACAGAGAGGGCAGATACGACAGACGTAGCCGACGAGCGACCCAAGGCAGACTAGAAATACTAGTACCAGGCTATTTCCTTGCATACATACGTTCCTTTTCCACAGTGTCTAGTTCCTATAACTCCTCTCAGTCAAGCTCGTCACGCCTGACGGGGTTTCCATCTGCACTCGTACAAATGCAGTTGGCGAGGACGCACGGGTTGGATTCCGCTTGTTATTATTAATACAGCAACCGCGGTCAAATGTCAAGCGTATCCGGATACGGTTGTTGATTGGCATGTCAACGCGTCAACAGCCAATCGGACGCGACCACGGCGCCTGTCCGACACAACCCGGCCCGTCGCCGCCAGTCGCCAGAGCTCTGAGCCGATGGACTGGACCTCGCTTCGCACCGCGTGCGTGGACCTCCATGCCTACCACGTCAACGCGACCTCGGTCATCGCGCCCGATGCTGGCCCATTGCGCGACCTCTACCACGCGTGTTTGCTGCTCGCCGGTGTCGTTCTCGGCGTTGGCCAGCCCCGCGTCGTCGTCAAGTACTTTGTCGCTCTTCACGCAAGCGTCCTCGCGCTCGGGACGCTGCATGCACTGGGTGTGACCCAAGCAGAGGCGCGGCTGGCGCCACTCCTCGGTGCACTCCTCAGCGACCACCCGCAACTGGGTCTCCGCGCTGTCTTGGTCTTCTCGACCTTCAACTCGCTGCACGCGGCGCTCTCGCCGCTATTGCCCTTCACAGTCGCCCTCGATGTACTCGCGCTCGTATCGAGTCTCGTGCTCGTGTACTTGGTGCCGGTCGCCGCCGTCCTCGAGCTCATGCACCGCGTTGGCCCGTCGATCGCCGCCTTGGTCCTTGTCACCACCAGCGTCTTTGGCTATACGGGGTCGCTGGCGTGGCCGCTCCAAGTACTAGCGCTTAGCGCTATCACAGTGGCGATGCTCTGGTTGCAGTCGACGTCAGGCGCTCGCTTTCGGCGAAAAGTGTTGCGATTGTAAAGTAATATTCGGAAATAGAGTCGCACTCTGCATGTCGTTTTGCTCTCGGTCGGCTTATCGTGCACCGCTGTTGGGCAAACCCACCTCGTTTGAAGAAGCTCCTCTCTGAGATACAGCTCCAAGGGCAGAAAGACCCTCATCAATATGCGAGTTAGAGCTTGTGCTCGTCGAGGCTCTTGCTAATAGTGAAGAGCAACCTCCACGGCGTTGACGGTCCCAATGCCAAATAGCGACCGAGCTAGTTGGTTATGTTTCTTCACGAGCAAATGCATCCCAAGTGCTAATAACGTTTGAATCTGATATCAAGAGTGTCCGTTTCTGGGTTGGGACGGGCTCGGGCCAAGTCTGATATTCTCAGATACTTTGTCTTGTCCACAACTCAGATAGGATCTGAGTTGGCTTCTTGCTCGGTCATGTCGTGATCGCTGACGCCTCGAGCGATATTTCTATCCTCCGCTCGGTCCCTAGCATGGGACGACCTCTTACTATTGCAGTAATACGCTCTCGTTGGTGACTACACGGTCGGCGTTTCCAGAGCTGCTCCCTACACTACGAGATAGCCACTCACGACGGTCGACGACACGTGCCACTGTGTTTTCTGTGCTTTCTTCGGTAGCCATTCAAATAATTCGCCTTTCGTTGGTCTCCTCGTGGAGCAACAAAGTACTTTTCTGATCCAGCGACAAGGACCAAGTAAGCTTAGTTCTAGCGACCTGAGTTATGCTATCAAGCTCCAGAATATATGTGTATACTACGCGGCTTGGGGCTGGGCAGCGAGATGGCCATCACAGGGTCGTCGTGTCAGCAAATGGGTGATCCATAAGCGCTTCCGATGTTGCCTCGAAATCAGGTACCCGCTAACTCAGGTCGTGTCCACCTCTGTGCACCAAGCTACAACGCCGGGGACTACCTAATAGAAGATGGTTGCATGTCTATCTCCACATTCGATAGCATAATGCCGGATCCCACGATAGCTTCCTTGAGGTATTGGCCAGGGAATAAACTGTATTCTTTCCGTCTATTTCCTACTAGTATGTGTCAGTCGCTGATATTTCGGGAGCGAACGCCGTCGTCGCTCGACCGCAGCGTCGCGCACGGCTGTGCGAACGATCCGCACCGTAGCACTCCGACCACTTGGCGACGATCCACGAGCCTTTCGACGCCGGCGTCGTGGGACCAGATATCTGATGGTCTGACGTCTGATAACGCGCTTCCCGCCGATCGACGACCTGGAGCTGTTCACAATGTCGACGCGCTTTCGATTCATTTTCAGAAACGCACCATGAAGCTCACGTGCCTCTCCCTTCTCGCAGCTGCGTTTGCGACCGTCGCTGCGTCACCCGTCTCGCTCAACGAGCTCAACGAGCTCATTGGCGACAACCAAGTGCGCACGACTGAGCAGCTCCAAGCGATCCTCGACGACGCCGACGTGAACCGCAAGTGCCACACGACCAACAGCAACTACCTCCCGTCGCTTGCCCCCGGGTCGTACGGCGCGAGCTCGTACCACAACTGCTTCCGCACCGACGCCCAGGTCGACGAGTACCTTGACGTGCTCGTCAAGCAGAACGCCGGTGTCGTCACCAAGTTTCAGATCTCGACCACGTACACGGGTACGACTCCGTCACTCACAAGTCTTTGTCTTATACAAAGGGGTAGGGTTGCCGATCTGGGCCTACAAGATCTCGACCGGCGCGCGCCCGTCGTCGTTGTACCTCCAGGCGCTCCTCCACGCCCGCGAGTGGGTCGCCACCTCGTCGGCCGTCCACACAATCTCGACGATCCTCGACAACATTGCGGCCAAGAAGCCGACGCCGGCCGACACGCACGACCTTATCATCGTGCCGCTCGTCAACGTCGACGGCTACCGCATGACGTGGAACGGTGCTCGCTACCAGCGCAAGAGCGCGAACGAGGTCGACCTCAACCGCAACTGGTACACGCCGATTCCCAACCCGAGCCCGCCGCCGCCGAGCTCGCAGATCTACCCGGGCCCGTACTACTTTAGCGAGAAGGAGTCGATCGGCATCCGCGACTACCTCCTCAAGAACCGCGCGTCGATCGACGGCTACATTGATCTCCACACGTACGCGGCCGAGGTCATGGCGCCGTTCGGGGACACCAAGCAGCCGGTGGGCGGCGGCCTCGATGAAAAGTACAAGACGATGAACACCAAGATCGCCAAGGCCATGAGCAAGAACTACCAGGCGACGCTCTCGTACCAGATGTACCTCTCGTACGGCTGCTTCCAGGACTACGCGGTCCGCGAGTTTGCCGGCAAGCCGTCGCTTACGATTGAGATGGACGGGACCGACTTTGTCGCGCCCGCGTCGTCTATCTTCAAGAGCGGCAAGGAGGTCTACGATGGCCTCTCGGTCTTTGCCGCCGAGAACGCCGAGTTCCTCGGCAAGAAGCCGACGCCGGCTCCCACCCCTGCCCCCACGGACGCCCCCGTGACGCCCAAGCCGACCCCGGCCCCCACTCCGGTCCCCACGGACGCTCCCGTGACGCCCAAGCCGACGCTGGCCCCGACGCCGACGGTTGTCCCGACGGTCGCCCCGACGCCCAAGCCTGCGTGCTAAGGAGATAGAGATCGCGTCGTACACGTTCGAGTGTAAATGTTGTTGCACAAAAGATGTTCTACACAGTGAATCGTTATGCAAAGACTCTGTATTGAATGACTAGGATCGTTATGTCAAATGGTATAAACATATAACTACATGAACCATGGTTATGCACCTGGTTATGCACAGTGGGTTATGCACATGAGTCATGCATTCGTCCGCCGGCAACGGCAAAGTGAGTACGTTTTGGACAACACTATTTCAAATGACATGCGTGACGATCGAATACAACACTATTTAACACCGTCGTCAGCGATGGGTGGGACCTGCCGGGTCTGCTCGCGGACGTGCCAGCCGACCGGCGCGCCGCTTCGCCGCTGCCCACGCTGCAAGCTAGCGCGCTACTGCAGCGCTATGCACGAAGCCAACGACGCGGGCGACCACCGCGCCGATTGCGCGGCCGTCATCGCCGCCGACGCCGACGTCCAGCGGCTCCGTCTCGCGCTGTGGGGCCGCCCCGAGGCCATGACGGTCGCCGGTACACGCCACGTACACGCCACGTACTCGAGGCGACGCAAAAGTACATTCGCGCGCTCTGCGCCGTGGGCGCATGGTCGGCGTGCGAGGCGGCGCTCGTTGCCGCCGTCTCGCTGCCGCTGTACCCGGTGCTGCAAGGCGCCTTTGTCCACCTCGAGAAGGCCTTGCCGTGGTTCCTCCTCGCACAAGATGACTCGGCCGGCGCGTACCGCTGCTTCTTCTCAACGATCGAGTTTCTCGACGAAGCGGCCGCGCGGCCAATGCTCGACATCACAGCGTGGCGCTGTCCAAAGCGGCGATCGATCCTCGACACGCAGGAGCTATTGACGCTGGTGCTGCTCCTCTTGCGCGCGCGCGCGCGGCTCGTATTTTACTTTCACTGGCTCCTCTTCCTCATGGGCACAACCTTGGACGACGCGGCCACGTCGTACGTACTGGGTCCGCACACAGACATGCTCCGTGAGATCCACAGCTACTTGCTACCGTCGTCGCCCTTGCGCTGCCTCTGTCGGTTGACAAAACGACCGCACGGACTGCGCAAAGCCATCATGCAGCTCCACTACGCCGTGTGGGCAACCATGGAAGAGCTCTCGCTGCGCGACGACGCGCCGTGGTTGGACCTCGACGAAATTGCCGGCCGCGGCCTCGACCTCAGCGGCATGGACGGGCTCTTCGACTTGGGTATGGACATGTTCCTGCCAACAACCGTCGAGCTGCTCCAGCGCGGACCGCTTCGGGCGGCGTGGCGCGCGACGCCGGGCGCGATGACCGTGCTCAACGCTCGCCTGCACACGGCGGTCGAGCCGCTGTGACACCCACATTGTGCTTCTTGACCTCCAAAACTACACTATTTATGCTATAAAGAATGACGTCACCACACCGGCACGAGTATGTTGGGACAGTTCGTATCGGAGCCTCGGGTTTGGGAATAAGTTTTGGTATGCATATTGCTACGAGTGATGTAGTATAAGTGTCAATGGCCCATGCATGCGACGGCAACGTCTGGTCCCGGTACTATCTCGAGAAGGGCTTCTAAACCTCCTACACTAGACACTATATCGCGAGGCAGTCACGTAGGCGTCACCAGAACTACACACTTCACCAGAGAACGACGCGTTAGTTTCGGCTCGTTTGGCAGCCTCGCCATCATTCGATGCGGCTTTGAAGCGTACACCGATAAACGTTGTAGTGGCTACGGCGTCACGACACCTCGCTTCCGGCGACGCCTTCACAAGTCGGCGGTGAGATGGCGACGTCGCGGGGTCTGCTGCGGCCTCTGGTTGGAGCGACAACTCGGATCTTGTTGCTTTTTTAGGAAATTTTGGGGCGTAGGAGGCGTGTCGTTCTACGTTGCATTGCGCAGTGAGAAAGGCCTGGCGAGTTCTTGCAGTTTGCGCTCAGAGCCACTCGGTCCATGCATCACGTCCGTTACTGTGCCATGTGGTGCGTCGACAGATCGCGGTATAGGCCCGGCACATACAGTGCCAAACTCCCAGGACTGTACTTCGTGCGCGCATTGTCGATCACGGAGGAGAGCAGGCGCTAGGCACGCTCGAGACCAAGGCGTTGTTGCCGCGCGTCAATGCGGGTATCGGCGACTGCACTGGAGCATGAAGTTGCTGGGATGGCCTTGACGTAACCGCTTCCTCCATCGACATCTGTCTTCGTGTCTCCTATACGGTTTCAAATTTTCACAACATGCGAAGGGCTCTCTACCAATAAGCTGCTGTGACACACACGGCCGACCTCTTTCATTCGATTTGTTTTTGGATCGCTGCTCGGATCTCACTTCTTTTCTTTCCAAGACCTCTACATCACCACCATGGGCTGCACGCAATCCAACACCGCTCTTGAGACCGCCCCGGCGTCGGCCCCCCGCTCCGCCGCGCCACGCTCGGCTGCCCCGCTATCGTCGGCCCCGAAGAGCGCCAGCGCCGCCTCGGCGATTGCCGACGCGCCGACGTCCGACATCCCGGAAGCCTCGGCCCGCCAGTACCTCATTTCGGGCCAGTCGATCAACGAGCAGGGCATCGTTGTGTACCACATTGAGGCCCGCGGCGTCACGATCAAGAAGCGCTTCAACGAGTTCAAGGTCTTCCACCAGCAGCTCAGCACGGTCACGTCGGTGCCGGCGCTGCCCGAGGCCGGCCTTTTCACCGCCTTCCAGCGCAAGAACGACGCATTGATCCAGGCGCGCGCGGCCCGCTTCCGAGAGATCATCAACGTCGCGGCCGATCAGGCGCCCGAACGCCTCGACACCTTTGTTGGTGTCAGCGTCGCGCCTGCGCCGACCTCGAACGTCACGATTGTCGAAGAAATTGAAGTCACGGTCGAGGCGAACGAGGTCGTTGTTGAGGAGACGATCACGGAAGTGGCCGTCACGGAGGAGACGACCGTCGAAGAAGCTGTCGCTGAAGAGGCCATCGTCGACGACGTCGTTGCCGAGATTACTGCCGAGCTCGAGCCTGAAGCCGAAGTTGCTGACGAGACCCCGGTTGAAAAGTCGTCCGTGTACGAGGAGAAGAAGGTGGTCGTCATCTAATCGGCGCGAGACCTTTTGTAGATTAGGACATTATTGCATGCCACCCATTGTAGGATATATTGATATATATTAAGTTAGCAAACGCCATGTTACCTCGATTTGACGGTTCTGTTTCATGCTCACAGCACTACC